TTAGTTCCGATACAGCTGTTCTGAGATAGGTAGCTTGGCTTGGCACTGAGGCTGAACGGGGCTTCCTTCCGCTTCCCTGAGCAGTTGTCCTGCCTGTCCCCCTCTCCCCACCCCCTACCTCAGCAGGGGCACTAGAGGCCTGCACGCCATGGGAGGAGGAGGTCAGGGTCCTTGGACCGCCCACTGCATGGTCTTCCTGGACATGGATGGATGGGAAAGGAGCACAGGAGCCGCCACAGGTGGGGCTCCATGAGAAGCAGGGCTGGTGTCACTCCCAGCAGCTGGGGTGATGAGACTGTTCCGAGGGGCCCCATAGCATCTGCCCCCATGCCAGCTATTTCTGGAAGACCAGTCTCAGAGCACGGGGCAGGACAGAGGCTACTTGGAAGAAGTTCTTCACCACATGCCTCTCACCCAGAGAGGAGCTGCGGTCAGAAGCTCACCTGGATCAAGGGCTTTTCCTTGCCCACCAGGGATGAGGGAGGTGGTGAATGCAGACAGGAGGGTAGAGAGTCAGGCAACGTCATTCAATCCTGCTCCTTCCTGGGGAGAGATGGAAGTCCCATCCTCCCCATTGTGAAAACCCCAGCTCAGAGCAGCAGGGTCCACCATTGGGACCTTATAGAACCACCAGCTCACTCACCGACTGACTGTCATGCACTTGCTTTCCTCTTTGGGGGATTAGGCTGGGCACTCCTTTAATCACGGGCAGCTGTCAGGACGGCAGGACTTCCATTCCCCTGAGCTGTGCGTAGGAAGAGTCAGCAGATTGGTACAAGAGGCCGCTGTCATCTTTCCATTTGTCTGGGAGTCCAGCTAGATCCCAAAGTGAGGCCAGTACGGTGGAATGGCATAGATTGATTGCCTCTTGTTCAAGGCTCTCCAGCCTTCTGATTGCTAAACTTATTGGAAACTGCTACAAAAATGCTCTTCCATCAAGAGATTTGCATTTTATTTCTGCAAGTCTTTGAGCAACATTAGTAATCTGTGGTCAGAACATTTGCCACTTGTTCTTCAGTCTTGCAAAATGTTTTCTCAAAGCACACCATCCTTTTCAAGTCTGTCTGCCCTGCTGAGGCCTCTTCCACCCACACTTGAAGGCTGACTAAGGTGAATGTATATTAGCCGCTCATGGCTGTGCTGAGGAGGGCATCGTGATTGTGGAGTCAGGAGACCTGCTGATTGTCCACTGCTCAGCTCTTGCAGTTGGCCTGGCTGCATGCCACAGCTCTGCTTCCTCATAGTCTGTGAACTCAGATCCCTGGCTTGACAAGGTATCAAATTCACTTTGAGATAGCACAGGATTAGCAGCTGCAACAAGATACTTATGCAGAACCTTAGGAAAATTCCCAAAGCTCTGGCAGCGTTCATGTAAAAATTTTTCTTTCTTGTAGGAACAAGTAAGACTAGGACTGGTGCTGCTAATCATCAGATGCCAAAGTTGCTGCACCATCCTGTGAAATATCTGCACTGGGTGCGGGGTGGGGGGAATGAGAAGTGCCCATGTTGAAGGAAGTGCATCCAGTGATTCTTTGCATAGAGCTCCGTTAGTTTAGAATCCCAGTTTGTTAGCTCTTTCAACTCATGTGTCCATAAATAGGTTAGGGAGAGCTTGTTGTCTTCTATCCTAGATAAGGGAAAGAGAACTGTATTTGAATTAAATCAAGGACCCACAATTTCTGACACTGAAAGGTGATAAAAACAACCTGAAGGCACTAAAAGGTGTTAAAAACAGCTCATGGGAGCTGTAGAGATTTAGACACAAAGGACAGGGAACCCTTTCGTTGACCACTTGGACAATTGAAGAGTCACTCCCTGAGGCAAAAGCTGACAACAAAGGATCCTCCTGAGGCGTTGGGGGGTGGGATGGGGTGGGGGAGAGGTTAGAACAGTGAATAAAACAGGTGAAAGTCCCTATACTCAGACAGCTAGTGTCCTTGTGGATATGGGCTCACTAGGTCTCAGGCACTGTTCTGAGCACTTCACACACATGAATCCCTTTAACCCCTGCACCTACTTCAACATGGGCACTTCTCATTGTCCCCATTTTACAAATGGGTAAACTAAGGCACAGGAAAATTAAGTGACTTATCCAAGGGTATACAACTAGCAAGTGGCAGCTGAGTCTTTCAACCCTGTGAGCATGTATGTCCCAAACTTTAAAAGGAATACATTTCACCCGGGGATCTGGGCTTAAAAACAGATTCTGATTCAGTAGATCCAACGTGGGGCTTGCCATTCCACATTTCTGAGGAGCTCCCAGGTGGCACTGGTGCTGCTGACCCATAGACCACGTGTGGGGTGGTAAGGGTCCAGACCATGATGGGCATCCTTGGCCTCCTGGAAACCTAGCTCCTTGGAGATATATTTGTATTGTTCATCTCTGTGTTGTCTTCATAAGGACCTTCTTATCCTCATCTAGGCTTGGTTAGCTGAAGCCATGGAAACCCAGCTAAGCTGATTCAGGAGAGGAGCAGGCACAGCCTAAAGTTGCAGAACTCGTGGAATGCAAGAAGAATAAGCACAACACACCAGGCCTTGCGGGGCCCAGAGTGCCACTGAGCTCTGGTCTCTTACCTCCCCTCTGCTGTGCGGGTTCCAGCCGCTGCTCCATTCTGCTCGCCTGTTTTCCAACATGGCCACCCATAAAATCCACTGGCTCTTTCAGGCCCAGGGCTCACAATAACCACATGCACCCTGTTTCTTATTTTAAGTGCTTGAAGGGGGAATCTGGCAGTCAGTAGATTACAGGAGCTATAGTATTGAACAGGTAGGCGAGGTTGAGTGTGATGGACTCATAGTCTGTTGTATCTTAGATCACATGCAAGGTCAGATATTCGCTAAGAGCTCCTTCCTGGATGCCCAGATTGCTTCCTTTGGGAGGCAGCCAGAAAGAAATAGATAATTCATATATTTACCCAAGCATCTATCAGCTGCCAGGTAATGTACCCAATGGTAAGGATACAGAGGTAGAAGATATAGCCATCACTTTTAAAATAATTTAAGTTCTAATGGCAAAGGAGTTCTATGATCAAGGTAAACTCACACCAGAGCAAAGCTCTCCTGAGAAGAATTAGGAAAGCTGAAATAAAATCTATCAGCACTCTGCTTTCTGAATCACATATCTGCATTTCATAAATATGTTTGTATTGTATAATTACCGAGTTATGTACATGCATATATATACAGCTATTTTAATTGTTCTCTGCAGGACTTGATGGGTAGGTAGATCACAGAGAAAAGTAGCAAAGTGAGCCCAATTGCTCTGATGTTGAACTCTAAGAAACTCATTCATACTTAAGTAGAGCTAGTTGAGAGAAGCTATGCAGAAAGTGACAACAGAATGTTTAGGAGGTGAGTGAGTTTTTGGTAATCCTAACAGTGAGATAAAAATTGGGAGGTTGTGGTAAATACCCCAGGTTTTTTACTGGGGAATGCTGAAAGACTGAATGAACCCTGACTAAGGGCAAACAAGAAATACACTAGATTCTATAAAAACTGAAACTCAGCCTCTCAACAGGTCAAACCCTGATTAGATTAAAGTGACCATCCCCCTACTCTAACTTCCTGTTGGGAAACCAAAATTTTATCTAGAGCCTCCATGATTTTCTATAGACGATATCTGGCATTCAACTAGACAAAAGTTATCAGGCATTCCAAGGAAGATTCAAAGCAAAACAGATAATAGAAAGGAGTCTCTGGGAGATGCAGATATGAAAGTTTATCAAGCATAGGTATTAAAATGATGTGATTGATATGGTTATAGAATTAGCTGATAAGCTAGAGAAATTCCTGAAAGAACTGGAATATCTGCAAAAGAAACCAATAATATAGAACTAAATAAAAATAATACATGAAATTAAGAACTTAATAGAAGGGTTGTAAAGAAGGTTAAACACAGATGAAGAGAAAATTAATGATTTGGAAGATATATCAATAGGAAATGGCCAGTGCAAGGCCCAGAGAGACAAAAGGAAGGAAAATTCAGAATTGAAATCATGACAATAATAGTACAAAAGTTTGTGGGAGAGGCAGTAAATTAAATGTAAGTTCTAAGCCATCTTTGCTATATATTTCTTGCCTCTTGAATTTATTCAATCTCTATTTAATTCTGGTCCTAGATTCTCTTGTCTAGAGCTCTTTATTGTGGTAACCCCTGACCACATGTGGCTATATAAAGTTAAATTAATTAAACTTAAAGTAAAAATTCAGTTCTTTGGTAAGACTGGCTACATTTCAAGTGTTCAGTAGCCACATGTGTCCAGTGGCTGCTGTATTGAACAGTGCAGATATAGAATGTTTCAATCACTTCAGAAGGTTCTATTGAATAATAATCTCATTCCCTGATAATTTACATTTTTCATCAGTTTATTTTCTAGATCTTTACCGTGGTGTTACCCCTGTGCATGGAACCTTTCCATGGGTCCAGACTCCTTAATGTGAAGTTCAAAGTTTCACAGCGTATAACTCAATTCTGTTTCCCTGCCTATTGGAAGCAGGCAAAGTGAATTCGGTGATCTACGATTACCTGAAAGAAGATATAATGTTCTCAAAATTAGGTGCCTGTGGCTCTGTGGGTCTGTCTTGTGTGGCGAATGGTACTCAGAGCACTAACCTTGAGTCATCTGATGACTTCAGGCTCCTCTATCCAGGAATGCTGGGACAAGTACACATTTTAGAAAGACTCCCGCTAAGATAAATCATGTATTAACTCTTGGGTTTCCCACTGGGAACTTCTTATTCTTCAAGTCTATGGGGCAAGTAGGGCTTTTACTGAACTGCATTCTTGCCTTTTACTGGCTTTTAAACATGGACAACTGACTTCACCTCTCCTGTGCCCCAGATTTCCTGGCTGTTAGGTAAAGTCCTTGCACTCCTCTCTAACATATGAGTTTTTACAACTAAATGTGGTTTTGCAAATGTAGAAATTGAATGTAAGTGTTGTGTGTACTACATGACATTATTTTTTCATGCTGTGCTGTTTCTTTTTTGTCTTTCAGTCATTTCCCTGAAAGCTTCTGAAGAGTCATCCTTTGAGAAAAAAAAAGAGACTTGGGCATTTTTTGAAGGTAAAGCTTGTATATTTCTTTATGATAATCTTTATGATAAGGTGCAGCCTCACTGTTAGACAATAGGAAGGAAATAGAATATCAAGAAAAGACCCTAACTTCTTAGTTTCTAAGTTGTTTTTGTTCTAAACTTAATCAAAGTAAGATGGAAATCCCTCACAGTATCAGCCCACAGTTTTGAAAGAGTGGAAATTAAAGCACCAGTCCACATAATTTCTGTTCGTTTGTTTTGTTTTGTTTTGCTCCAGAATTCCTACTCTCAGGTGATATTAGGGAGAAATCTTCAGATATATAAAAATCATAAGTACCTCTACTGTGACTACATTTTATTTCAGGTTGCTTAAGGAATTTGGGGTTCTAGAAACAGTTTGCAAACCTTAACCAAGTAATTTTCAACCCATGCCAGAATCACTTATGAAGTGTTAAGAAAATTAATGCCTGGGCTACATCTCTAGAGATTCTTCTGATTTAGTTGGAAGTTGTTAAAAGCTCCTCAGATGATTGCATCATGCAGCCAAGCTGAGAACCATGGCCTTGGAACGGTGGTTTCCAAAGTGTGATTGCAGACCAACAGCATATGCATTACCTGGAGCTTGGTCCAAATGCACGTGGCTGTGCCCTGCCTCAGCTTACAGAATCAGAAGCTCTGGGGATGGTGCCCAAGAGATCCAGGGTTTAACAAGACATCCAGGCGATTCTGATGCACATGCAGGTTTGGGCCTTAGGGTAGGGGTTCTCAACAGTGGGTGACTTTTGCTCCTCCAGGGGACAGTTGCCAATGTCTGGATGTATCTTTGGTTGCCACAGCTGTTGGGGGTGCTACTGGCATCTAGTGATAGGGGCCAAGGATGATGCTAATCCTACAATACACAAGATAGTCCCCATGATAAAGAATTTTGGCTCCAAATAGCCAGAGTGCTGAGGTTGGAAAACCCTGCCTTGGAGTAAGGAAAGTTCAGAGAAATTATTATCATAAAGTGGGTGAGGATTATGACCCTAAGGAATAAAGACTGTACTTTATGAGTTCTCTGGCAGTGCCTTGGATCACTGAAAGACTGGTTAATGTTCAAAAGTGGTCAGGAACTTTGTAGAGATTATGTCTGGTGAAGGCACAGCATTTATTGATGAGGAACGATCTAGCCAAAAGGATCTAAGGAGATGCATGTCTTGGGACCTCACCGTCACCCCTTGTTAACCCAGTGGGTGGTCTGGCAGAAGGAGGGCCGGCCTTAGGGGGAAAGTACTTGCTTTCAAGCCCACCCCTTCCAGTCCCTATAAAGCAGTGGACAGAAACATATTCCGTCTTAGGAAAAATGTAACTTTTATTGTGAATATCATTTGCAAACCATAAGGTGTCACCCACATAGCCTCTAGGAGTAGTTGTTTAGTTTTGTAGTCATGAATATTTTGTTTATGACATTGCACATTACTCCAACAATGATTTTTTGTATTCCTTGACATTTCTCTGCATTTCATAGCTGCCTTTCTCTTTATTTGATGACTGTCTCCTAGCAAAATAATCCCTATTTCCCCCATTCAGCCTCTCATTAAGAGAATTCTTACTCACTGGCAAAGAGATGAAAAAGGGCTTTACTTCTCATGGAGTGAAGTAGTAGTAAGAGCAAGGTTTACGTTTCTCATTGCTATTTAGTAAAATTGAAGCAACCCCATTGATATTTGCCCCTGTCTCTGGAGCTGCCCTGTGACCAGGCACCGTGATGGGTGGGGGTATAGAGAGGGCCTGGCTGCCACAGGGGTAGATCACTAGGCATCTATAGATCATCAGATGCATCAGAATCTCCGGGGGAGACTCTGGGCTCCAGCCCCTGAGGTTCTGGTTATGACCATAGGAGGGGTCAAAGAACTTGCAGGGCCGCAGGTGATTCCTATGCAAGTGGTCTGAGGACCATACTTTGAATACCGTGGTGCAAACACAAGACTATGTATTTGAAAAGATTGTGGCATTTAGACCCAACATACCCCTCAGCATAGTCAGCATTTCTAAAACCCATTACATAATTAACAGTATCCCATAATTCATGTGCAGCTATAGAATGTCAGGGTTCCTCCCGACCTAACTCTCTACATGAAATCTGTAGTCATTGTGCTCTCTTCTCAACAGAGCGAATCAGGCCTCATCCAAAAGCAGAATGGGCATTCTCACTATGTATAGTGCCTGCCTCGGAGCAGCTGTTTCCAGAGCAATCTTTTCCTATGGTTTTGGCAGTGGCGGCAGCAGCAGCAGCAGCAGCGTCTCCATGCTTTGCTTTTTTAACCCAGCCATAGCTTTGGCGAGGTTAGAGGTACAGTTGAAACTCCCTGGCATATAATCCCAGGCCTTTTGCCCTTTTGTTCCTGGACGGGAGAGCTACAGTAGGGGTTGTGGACGGATATCCATCCCCCTGGGGCTTAGTTCGTCCTGGCTGTGAGCCCACTGCACAAAAGAGGCATTGATTGTCAGGCCTGTTTGTGAGATGCTAAAGTGAGTTTAAATCCCTTGGGACTATTGTTCAGGTATTTCACCCTGAGCAAGATGGTATTACAGGCTAAATTTGAAAAATAGAAGTACATAGCCTTATGTCCCAAACTGCCATCTCCTGACTTTTCCATTTGCCCTGAAAATGTACAAGACTGAAACGGATTTTCTTGATTCAGAAGGCAGGGGAGAGTGGGGTTCCTGGACTCTGCTGAGGGGCGCTGGGGGTCACTCTTTTTCAAAGCAGCACTGAATACCCTTGCAGGGATCAGGGTTGCTGGGCAACAGGTGCCATCTGCCTAGCCCTGGCTCAGTGGGACTGTTTGGGAGGGTAGGAGCTGGCACGCTGCCATTGTGTACCCCAGTCTTGGCCTCTCTCTACATGGGCGGCTGCTCCAGCCTGCCAACCCTGCCATCTGCTTCAGGGAGGCCTGAGCATTTTCTGCATGGTGGCTTGCAGTTGAGTCTAAAAATGGCAGTGATGCCTTTGGAAGTTCAAAGGCAAAAGACAAAACTACAAATGAGTTCAGAGAAAAGGGAGTATAACATGATTTTCAGAATTATTGTGAGTGTGCAGGTATTTGTGTTTTCTTTTGTTGTTGTTGCTGCAATTTTGGCTCACTGCAACCTCCGCCTTCCAAGTTCAAGCGATTCCCCTGCCTCAGCCTCCTGAGTAGCTGGCATTACAGGCGTCTGCCACCATGCCCAGCAAATTTTTGTATTTTCAGTAGAGTTGGGGTTTCATCATGTTGACCAGGCTGGTCTCGAACTTCCCAACCTCAGCTGATCTGCCCGCCTCAGCCTCCCAAAGTGTTGGGATTACAGGCATGAGCCACTGCATCTGACCAGATGTGGTATTTTAAAAGCAAACTTCAAATTTGATTAATTGCAGGTATTTTGTTAAATTCAAGCCTTTGTTGAAAGGTCTGGCTTCAACTTTTCAACAAGCATTACTTGGCCTAGTCTGAGTATTAACACCTTTGAGTCAACGTTTTGCAGAGAGATTTTTACATTAAAGGGTAAAGAATGAATTGGAAGATCTGGCACCATTAGGCGGGAATTTCAGCCTTAGAATAGCGCCCTGGAGCTGAGTACAGCAGGGCTTTGCACTAGCTGACATGGCAAGTGGAGTTTGGAGTTTGTGACCCTGAAGTCGAGTTTGTGACCCTGGCTTCAATGGCTCAGAGTTTAACCGCTGTTTGCAGAGAACACCCAGGGAGGGGGTTTTCATGTTTTGAGCAGACACAGCAGGGTGTTTGTCTTTATGCAACAAAAGGAAGGAAAAAAAATTCAGAACTTCAGCATACTGTTTGCTGCTCAATCAAGGGGAACTCAGGTGGTCTATCTGAGATTTTCTTCTCCTACAAGGCAATACTTCTTAAGGATCTGTAGTTTCAAGAACAAAACAGAGACTGGCCATGACCAGCCCTGTGTGTGTGGGGAGCCACACGAAGGCAGGAGGGGCCCACTGGCCGGTGTCCATAACTGGAGTCCTGTGTGTTTGGTGGCCAACTGAGCCTTCCAGACTCGCCAGATGTTTTCTGATTCTGTAGCCCTGGCTGCCTGTGGGGAGCCCCCTTTGAGCCATGTTGAGGGAGCTGTGATCTGAAACTGTTCCTGGGCCTTTCGAAGCCCCTCACCTCCCGCCAGGGCAGAGTGGGCCCCAGATGTCTGCACCATGCTGCTAGGGACACATGGGGAGAGATGCCTGCCACAGTTCACATCTGCAACCTTGTCCCTTCTGGATTCCTGTGGTCCTGAAGTCGAGCAAAGAGCTCAGATGAAGAGGTGAGCTTGTGGGTCAGCTGCTGTGCTCTGTGGGCACGGAAACTTCCGTAAAACAGTTTTTTTCTCCACTCCATGAATAAGACTAAAGGCAAATTTCCCTGCCTTTTGGTCCGGGGGCCACATTTGCAGAGTCCCTTCCAGGCAGATGCTGTGTTCTCCTGCCTGAGGTTCTGTCTGCCTGGCAGCATGACTGTGTTGCTCACCATCCTCTCCTGCCAGCAAGGGTTCTGCCATCCTGTTCTGGAGTAGTTTGCTCAGCAGCATGGAAAGGCAGGACTGGCTGTGTTGTGGCCATCCTGTAACCTGAGATCCTCACACAAATCCTTGTCTTGTGAACTCTGCTGTGCCCCTGAGTTCGTCATGAAGTGTCTCGTCCAGAATCCAAGAGTCCTGTTACTGAGTTACACACTGTTTAAATGGGTGCTGCAGCCTCTCTCCTAACTCTGACCCCTCACAGAGTTCACCCTGTAAATCTACAGAGCCCACACATCAGAGACACAGGTATTTACCAGAAATGCCATTTTGATTTTACATATGTGAGAGCTTTCTCTACTTCTGTCTCAAACTCCTCACATCCCATCAGCTTCTGGACCTCTCTAACCTGGCTCTGCATCCCCAGCCCACTGGCGGGGTTTTCCTCCAAGATTTTCTCAGTAGCTTCCTAGGGGCAAAACCCAGTGGATGTTTTCCAGCAATTGACGCTGTTAAGACATCCTTCTTGCAGTGCTTTCTTCTGGGCTTCCAGAGCTCTCACCCCAGCCTCCGCTGCATCCGTGACTAGCTCTGATCCTTTGCAGGAGACTCCCTTCCACACACCTGCCCCTATCCCTTAAATATTAGTGCAGATGCACCCTTTGCCTGCTACCTTGCCCTATGGCACTTTCTCATTATTTTATTTTTAGTTCAGACATCTAGATTGCCAAGAGGAGAAATCTACTCAGGCTAGTTTAGACAAAAATGCTGACTGCCGTAAGAACGCAGGAAGATCTCATGGACTCCAGGGGCAGAGGTTGTGGGGCCCAGGGACCACACTCCTGGGGCCCAGGCCAGGGAAGGGAGAGTCAAAAGGAACATGAATGTCTGATTCCATCTCGTGCCCCCTTCCCTCTCATTAACCATAAGCCTGACCTGCTTCTCCAGGCTCTCCCTGGGAGCCAGCCACCTGCTACCCCCAGTAGGCTTGCTTTTTCAGCTTAAGCACTTAACTAACTGCTTCTCCATGCCCCAAGGGCTTTACAAAGGTGCTTTTCTGTTGGCTCAGCTATTCTAGGAACTTGATCTTGAGAATACATTGTGAGAGTTGCACTCAGGTTTAAGTTCATGAAGGCTCACCATAGAATTATTTATGATGGAGAACAGGTAGAAACACTTTGAGTAGCCCAGGGTAAGAGATTGTTAAATCACTGATGATATATTAATATGACAAACCTTTATCATATTTTTCAAAATGATTCTGAATCATTTTTGAAAAGAATTTTTTGAGAAAATGAGATAATGGAAAAGAAGATGTGAAAGTTTATTATCTCAGTTTTAAAATATATGCATATACATCCTAAAGTATACCAAATATTTATTAACAGTAGTTGTCTCAGGGTGATGGGATGGCCGATGATTTTTTTCTCTATACATTTTTGTATTTTTTGTTATTTTAAATACAACTCGGTGCAGAACTCTAGTCCTCTTGGAAGCTTCTCTCGGCCTCCTCAGGCTGGGCTGGGTTCCTCTGAGCATTCCTGGTATTGGGCCCACATTCTTATTGTTACACTTACTATGTGGCCCTCTATTTCTTGAAGAGAAAGACTTTGTGTGTGCATCTTTAATTTTCTTGTACTCAGGAAAGTACTGACCGTGGCTGATGGTAAATATCTGTAGAAATTTAAGTCAACAGAGAAATATTTTTGCTAAGTTCAAACATTTGCTAAGTTCAGATGTCTGGTATTTGGCTTCAAACATGGTTAGAATAATGCTTTGGCTTCCCTTTTCACTTTCTGAGCAGCTTGGCATTGTACTGATCAGATTAGTGATAAAGTTGATTCTTGGAGTTTAAGAAATATAAGTATATGTAGCTGAGCACTGAGGCTCACTCCTGTAATTCTAGCTACTCAAGAAGCTGAGGTGGGAAGGTCCCCTGAGCTCAGGAGTGAAAGGCTGCAGTGAGCTTTGATTGCATCCCTGCACTCCAGCCTGGGTCATGGAGTGAGAACTTATCTCTAAAAGAGATGTATGTACGTGAACATGGTTTAACTGTTGAGACTTAGACAACTTTTTATTTTGAAATTATTGTAGATTAACATTCATTTCTGGCCACTCATGGTGGCTCACCCCTGTAATACCAGCACTTTGGGAGGTGGAGGTGGGTGGATCACCTGAGGTTAGGAGCTCAAGACCAACCCGGCCAACCTGTTAAACCCTATCTCTTCTAAAAATGTAAAAATTAGCCGGGTGTGGTGGCATGCACCTGTAGCCCCAGTTACTCAGGAGGTGGAGGCTGGAGAATCACTTGGACCTGAGAGGCAGAGGTTGTAGTAAGCCAAGATTGTGCTATTGCACTCCAGCCTGGGCAACAGAACAAGAGAAAAAAAAATCCATTTCTAAAAGTCATACACAGAGATGTCTTGTAACAATTTGTGTCCTTTACCTAATTTCTCCCAATAACAGCATTTTGCAAAACCATAAAACAATATCACAAACAGGATATTAACACCCATACAGTCAAAATGCAGACTATTTCTGTCATTATAAGTGGCCCTTATAGCCAAACCCATTTTCCTCCCACCACCACCTGCTTCTTAATTTCTGGCTACCACTCATCTGTTCTCTGTTTCTATAATTTTGTCATATTAAGAATGTTACATTGATGAAATCATATAGTATGTAAACTTTTGGGATCCTTTTCTTTTATTCATTCAGCATACTTCTCTGGAGATTCATCCAGGTTGGTGTGTGCATCGATAGTTTATTTCCTTTTTTTAACTGCTGAGGATGCTGTGGTGTGGATGTACCACACTTTGTTTAACTATTCATCTGCTGAAGGACATCTGGGCTGTTTCAAGTTTGTGGCTACCATGAACAAAATTGCTGTTGACATACATGTACAGTTTTCCATATGAACTTAAGCTGTCATTTTTTCTAGGACAAATGCATGGAATGCCATGTCTGGGTTGAGTGGTTGCTATAGGTGTCTCTTTTGAGAAACTGTCAAACTCTATTCCAGAGTGTCTGAGCCTCTTTGCATTGCCACCAGCCACGTATGAGTGACTGACCCAGTTTATCTGCATCCTTGCAAGCATTTGGGGATGTCACTATTTTTTATTTTAGCCACTCTGAAAGGCACTTGGGATATTTTATTGTAGTTGGATTTTGCATTTCTCTAACAGCTGCAGAAGTGAATCATTTTTTCGTGGGCTTGTTTTTCACTTGTACATTCTTTTTAGGGAAATGTCTGTATTTTTTTTTCATTTTTTTTTAACAGGATTGTGTAGTTTTTGCTGTTGAGTTTTGAGAGTCCTTTAGTGTCTGGATACTAGTCCCTTGTTGGATATGTGGTTTGAAAATATTTTCTCCCGGTCTGTGTGACTTTTCATCCTTTTCATATGGCTGTTTATGGAGCATACGTTTTTAATTTTGATAAAGTCAAGTATAGTATATTAAGTTTTACTAATTTAGACTGTGCCTCTGGTGGCAAGTCTAAGAAGTCTGTCTATTCTTAGATCCCAAAGATTTTTCTTCTGTTTTTTTTTTTTTTTTTAAAGTCTTCTAGCTTACATTTTACATTTAGGTTTGTGGTCCATTTTGAGTTCATTTTTGAATAAAAGGTGAGGTTTATTTGCGTTTTATTTTCTGCAGTGGAAGTCCCACTGACTCAGCACCACTGATTGAAGAAACTGTCCTTCCGCCGTTGAATTACTTTGGCACTTCTGTCAGAAATCAGCTGAGCATGCCTGTGTGGGTCTATTTCTGGGCTCTCTGTTCTGTTGCATTGATCTGTGTCTGTCCTTGCACCGATACCACACTGCCTTGATGACTGTTGCAGTGGGATTTCAAACATTCCAATTCTGTGTTCTCGTGCCAGTGCACTTACCCTGCTGTGGTTCCCCGGAGGCTGACCTCTGTGCCTGTCCTTGCCTTTCAGATCTCTACGTGTATGCTGTCCTCGTGTGCTGTGTGGGGATCCTCAGCATTCTGCTCTTCATGCTGGTCATTGTCTGGCAGTCTGTGTTTAACAAGCGGAAATCCAGAGGTAAGAAAACAGATAAGATCATGTCTGGAATGGGAGTACACCCTGACCACAGACGGGCGGAAGATGCTAGGCAAAGTACCACCTTGGTAGAAAAGTACATTGTGAGTCAGGGATTATTTACCTGTGACTGTGGGCAAAGTGAGCAAGCTGAGCTTCCCTTGGACTCTGCTAATATACACTGTGGCCATCGTTGACATCACTGAATTTCCCCTTGCTCAGTTTTTGAGGCCCCTTATTGCTGTCAATCTCCACGAAGAGCCTGCGGTATCAGATGAACCTAGGTTTGGAGTTTGACTCTGCTGCTTGAGGCTGAGGTTTGGGGTGAGTTCCCAAGACATTCTGAATATGGATTTCCTTGTTTATGAAAGGGGATTGACACCCCCTTCCGTCGGTGGACTGTTCTTGTGAGTGTTCACCTGTAAGGCAGGTGGCACTTGGGAAGTCTTCCCCATTCTTTCCCTGACTGGTCTGAGAGTCCCCTTCCGTCTTCTTTCTCTTTGGTGTCCCTGTTTCCCTGCACTCTTCCCTCAGCCCCTTCCTGCCTTCCGCCTTCCTTCTCAGGGAAGTGTAGGTCTCATAACTTTCGTCTCTCTCTGAACGCTGCCTGCTTTCTCATGAGTCCCGGCTCCTCCCCAGTCCCTGATTTCACTTGCCCACAGCTCCTGGTAGAAATCTCCTTTGAGAGGCCCTCCCTGCTTCGTGCTTCAGAATCTCTAAAACAGCTGGGGACACTGTGTCTCCCCGAGGTGACCACGGTAAGAACCAAGCTCTGGAACTGGACTGATTCCGGTTCCAGTGGCTCCCTCACTTACAGGCTGACAACCTCCCTCTGTGCCTGCCCTCCTCATCTGCGACATGGAGGAGGCAGTTGTGCACCAGTCTCAGGCTTGTGGTGAGGACTAAGTTACCAAAAGAAAGATGCTAAAACCCTTAACACAGGCTCCAGCGAATGTCCCGCTTTTATGTTGACATATGGCTCTAATTATACACAATAATTGTCACTATTAGCTCAAAGTCATGGAGCTTGGAAGTGTTATATTCAGTGGTCATGGCTTGAGGGGCTACTCCAACAGTGACTCTGTGCAGCATTAGCACGCGGGTGTGGGCAGGGCTAAGGGACAATGAGGGAAGTGATGTATCCAGAGATGAGTACCCATGGGACAGTTTCCATCCTAGACCTCAAGGGACAAGGGGAGGGGATGTTCCTGGAATGGACCACGCAATGGCTGCAGCTTTGGGAAAGGTGTGACCAACAGGGGCCTGCAGAGAGGGACTTAGCCCCTGACAAACCAGGAGGCAGCTAGGAGGGATCCAGGATGGTACATCCTCAGCCCCTCTTCCCTCCCCACTGAGATCTCCTGCTGCTACTGCTCTTGCTGCCACCCACCAGACGCCAGGGGGCCAGGAGCAGGAAGGTGCCTCCAGGGCTAAGCAGGGTGGACAAAGGTGGACTGGGGTCTAGAGGACAGTGGAGAACTCCAGCACGCTCAGCAATCGACCTTCCAGTGGAGGCTGTAGCCTGGATGTCTTTCCTCTGGAGCCTGTGCCCTCCCACCAGCCTCTGCGTGTGTCTCTGTGTTGTCTTTCAAAGCCAGTTCCAGGGCCTTTCCCTGCAACACCCACCTGCCTCATCAGTGGCAACGCAGCTTTTCTCCTGTGCTTATCCCTGAGTACTCTTGTGAGCTTGTGGCATGTTGCACATGTGCCTTGGCATCGGCCCCCCTTCCGGAGGATGGTGTGTGAGGCAGGGACCATGCATTCAATTCATTTTCCTTGGAATTTGGCTCAGGACAGATGCTCAGCACATGGTGGACAAATGGGTTGTTGATTTTCCACCTGCCTTACTCCCAACTGTGGGAGTGTGGAAGCCACATCGGCAGTTTCCAGGCTGGGTATGCTCTGAGAGCACTTCTGCCTGGACTCAGGGGCATGACCAAGAGTCTACATGGGCTTCAGGGTCAGGGAAACGAAGCAAGGCCAAGAAGGGCAGACTGGGACATGTGGGAGCACCTGGCATCCTCCTCCAGGCTCCACAGAGAGGCTTCAGAGAATGGGGATCCCAGCTGCCTTATCCCCACTGGAGAGGGCCTCAGATGGTCTTGTGTGCACCTGTGCACAGTGCCTGAAAGCCCTCCCCAAACCCCAGCTGTCCAAAGCTTTGTCTGAGCATCGGCTGTGTGCCAGGCACCTCATGTGGCCCCTCCATGTGCTTATGTGACGCTGGATGAGAGCCGCACCACTCTCACCTGACGGACAGCACAGCTGAGGAGCTGAGAAGGTCCTGAAACCAGGGAGTGGTAGAGCGGAGTCAAGCCCCAGCCTCCCAACTGCTGGGGTGTGGAAGCCACATAGGCGGTTTCCAGCCTGGGTTCCCAAGCCTCCCATGTTTCTGTTCAAGAAAACCTTGGCCATCAGGGAGCTGTCCTTGCCAAGGGAATCTCCGGATGCAACCCCCAGTGGGACCTTGAGATAAACACAGGCCATCCCAGAAGCCAGGAGGCCGCAGGCCAGCCCCTCGTTACTCTCAGCCTTGCTCACCCCAAGCCTGGCACTGTTTTGCCTCTAAGGGCACCCAACATTCACGTGAGCTGGAGCTGATTGCCGCATACGTTGCTTGCCAAGCACAGACATGCTTTCCGCTTCCCTCCCGAGCTGCGAGTCTCCGTCCTTACTCTTTATTGTGCCCACAGTGCCAGGAACCTCATCCCAGGACCTTGACAGCACTGAGTCACCCTGGAAAATACCAGTCCTGGTGGTTTCTCAGTCACACTGGTTTCCAAAAGCCTTTGCTTCTTTGCGGATTAGCCCTGACCTGCTGCCTCAGAGTCGCTCCAGCAATCCAACCTTCTGTGTCTGAGCTTTTAAAAGTGCAGATTTTTAATGCACAAACTCGAACTAGATAGGAAAGAGGAGTGGCCTGGCTTCTTTCTCTGTACTCATCAGTGTGAGCTGTGACACTGCTTGGTTTGCACAGATTGTGCCAGAACTGGAGACAGAACCTCCCAACGCTTGTTAAGCACCCATGCCTCCCCTGTCCTGGGCACACTCTGCTTTCCTGTGAGGATGAAGCTAAGGGCCTGTGGCCATTCCTTCCAGAGATGCAAGAAAAGGGAGCTGGGGGTTGCGTCCCACCCACAACTAGAGTTGGGTGGAGAGGAGGCCTTTAAGCACAGAATGGGGTGGCTGTGGATGAAGAGGAGCTGAGGATGGCCTGGGGACATTGGAGAGGAGGAAGGGCTCACTCACTTGGAGTCAGATTCTTGGACAGCTGGAGTGAGATCCCTCCAGTCCTTCAGTGGGTGGGGTGTTGGATTGTTCAGCTAGCTCTCTTGTCAGGCCCCCTGAGTGCCCATCTTTCCTTTGTAGGAGTTGGTAAGCCCCCCTGGAGTGCTGGACTTGAGGCCTAGATTCAAGCTCCCTTATTTACAAAGTGGGTCTTTGGAACTCCCAACTCTCCACACTCTAACTTTCGAATGAGGGTTCCTCTTACCTCTTGGGGATGTGGGAGATACTTTTACCATCTGGGTGGCTGCTCATCCTGGCAGAGAGGTGATCTGACCATTTTCTTTAGTAGTCAGATTCAAAAAGGTAAAAAGAAGCAAGTAAAATTAATTTTAATATTTGTTATTTAACCCACCATATCCAGAATATCATTTCAACAGTATCAATAAATAAAGATGATAAATGAGATAAGTGATTTTTTTTTATGCTAAGGTGTAGCTTCATCGTCCTGTGTGATCTCACACCTACAGCATGTCTTATTTTGGACTCATCACACATTTCCGGACTTGACAGCTACCTAGACTCATAGCTGCCATGTGGGACTACAGGACTCTGGACAGACAGCTGTGCATGCTGGTCCTTTGCATGGAAGGAATGTGGCCTCTAAGTGGCATTTCATGCCAAAGGGGCAGGAGGTGGAGGACTTGCTTCTCCTTTTCAGCTTCCCATTTGGTGATAGAGGTGGTCCTGTTTTTATAACTGTTGGCCTGGAAGGTTTTCCAGGCAGGACTGGTTCCTGGAGGGGGCTGGGCTCTGGGGCCTGGTATGGTGGAACACAGAGCTGTGTGTAGTAAGGGGCACACCCTGGTCCTTTCTCTCCCACTGGGGAAATGCAGGCAGGGGCTGTGGATTGAACCCCGAATGAGGAAGGTGCTTTTGCAGGCTGCACGGCCCCCGCCTGTGCTGGGCTGCAGGAGTTGGGGAGAGTACTCTGGCCCTTCACTCTGAATATGCTCCTGGGTGCTTACTGTGCCCGAAGTACTGTGACCTCTTGCAATGCTGGGGTGGCCACAATCCTTGTCTCAAGTGCAGACACTTGATGGTTAGAGCAGAAACATCTGTGGATCTTATCACAGGGGCCTGTGCAAAGCCTGGAGGTCAGAAGACGTGGTCAGGGCATAGGGGTAAGGTGGGGAGACATCAACCAGGCCTTGGAGGTCCCGACACTATTACAGGGCCTGATAAGATGGGGAAGAGGGTGCCTCCACCCCAAATCACCCAGCATGGGGTGGCAGTGGTGATAGGGGGAAGACAAAGCCTTCAGGCTGGACATGACACCTAGGAGGTTTGGCATGGGGTGAGACTGTGAGCAGCGTGGTCTTAGCTGAAAAAGAGAAGAAAGGGTGAGGGTGGTAGGGAGTGGCTCAGGGCCTGCTGCTTCTTATCAAGAGAGGTTGCAAAAATAAGCCTTCCTTTTAGAGATTTCAAAGTCCTAACAACCCTAAAATCACCATTAGAGAAGAACATATCCTGAGTGTTCACCTCTGTGCAAGATGGTTGCATGAAGCCAGAGCCTCTAGGTCAAGTGCCTGGGTGCCAGGCCACAGCTCACGGAGTGTATTGGCTCCGTGATGCAACCCTTTATCAGCTGCTTCTCTTCCTGATCTCCCTCACTTTCCAGTGGGTTTCCTAGGATTGCCTCCCACATAAACTCTTGACATTTGAATCTTTTTTCTTATGATTTCTGTTTCTTAACACATTTAGGTTGATAGCACTAATTATGCTATGCATATTTAAGGGTGACTCTGGGTGAAGTCTATTTCTCAGGTGCCTGTAAACCTCATCTTTGACGCCCAGAATCACTTTTGGTCCTATGGGCAGTCCCTTTAATGGGACCATCAGCCCTACATACACCCCGCCGAGACCTCAGAATGGTACCTGTACCTGGCATGTACAGGGGTGTGTCTTCTGTACCCTAGCACTGTGTGTCCTCACCAGGCTCCTGGCCCTTCTTAGTCAGCTCCCTGCTTCCAAGGAACAGTGCAGCTGCTCTGCTGTCCCCTGCATTCCTGATCTCCAGGCTGCTCACCTTGCTACACCTGGACTGGACTTGCCAAAACGCCGGTCAGCTCATGGGATTCTCTTGGGTCGTAGTCCCAGCTCTGCTTGGCTACAGCTGTGGCACAGTGGTCTGGCCATTTCTTCTGTGAGACTCTGTTTCTCCACCTGCAGGAGCCCTGACTCCAGCTGCCTAGAGTCTGCGAATCGCGCAGAGTACAGTCAGCTCTCCCTCCCCGTAGGTTCTGCACCGAAGATTCAACGAAACTCGGAAAGAAAATATTTGATGAAAAAACAAAAATAACAATACAAAAGTACAAATAATACTGATGAAAAAGACAGTTTACATAGCATTTACTTTGTATTATGTGTTATAAGTAATCTAGGGATGATTAAAAGTATACAGGAGGATGTGTGTAGGTTATATGGAAATACAACTCCATTTTATGTAAGAGTCTTGAGCTTGTTCAGATTTTGGTATCCTTGGGAGGTTCTGGAATCAATGCCCCAAAGATATGAGGGATGACTCTAGTTCAGGTGTCCCCAGACTACGGCTTGCAGGCCGCATGCGGCCCCCTGAGGCCATTTATCTGGCCCCCCGCCGCTGCATTTCAGGAAGGGGCACCTCTTTCATTGGTGGTGAGTGAGAGGAGCACAGTATGTGGCGGCCCTCCAACGGTCTGAGGGACAGTGAACTGGCCCCCTGTGTAAAAAGTTTGGGGACTCCTGCTCTAGTTACAAGAGGGCTCCAGAGTTAGGCTGCCCAACTTTGGCGCTTCCCAGGTGTATTAGATTGCTAAGGTCACCACAGCAAAGTACCACAGACTGGGTGCCTTTAACAACAAAAATGTATTGTTGCACAGTTCTGAAGGCCAGAAGTCTTGAGATCAAGATGTCAGCGGGATTCATTTCTCCTGAACCCTCTCTCTGGGCTTAAGAGACTGCTGCTCTCCCTGTGTCTTCACATGGTCTTCCCTCTGTGCCTGTCTTTGTTGTAATCTTTACTTTTGAGGACACTAGTCAAATTAGAGTAGGGCTCATCCTAATGGGCTCATTTTAACTTAATTACCTCTTTAAAGACTCTATCTCCAAATGCAGTCACATTCTGAAATACTGGGGATTAGGCTTCAGTAAGTCTCAGTGGAGGAGACATAATTCAGCCCGTAACACCACCTGTGTGACCTTGGACAAGTTTATTAACCTCTCTGTGCTTCAATGTCCTCCCCTGTAAAATAGTAGTAATGACAAGGCTACTGTGAAGATTAAATTAGGATACAAAGTTGTGGTCTTCAAAGTTTTTTGCTATGCACTCAATCTTTATTTTTTTTGTTGGCATTTAAACTTATTCATCACCAATGTAAATTGTTGCAAAAGATGTAATTTTCATCTTTGATATCTAAAAATGAAATGATTATATCCATCTTTCTTTTACATCTAAATGTCTTGAATTTAATGACTGTCTTCATTTACTTAAAGCCATCATGAGAAAAAAAGACCTACCCAAACAAACTTTAGCTGTTAGAAATTTTGTTTGCTCCTTCTCCTTGACTTTTATCTTCAACACACTTCCCCACAAAATTTCATCCCATTGTAACACATCTTTTATTTTGAAGGTTCTTTATTGATTACCCTATTATACTTAATCTGTAAGATAATAATGTGTGTACAAATTTAAACTAATACTTTTTAAATTTCCGCATTTCACAAGTGTCTAAGTGTTGAAATATTTTTAGATTGAATTATGAATATTGAACAATTAGTAAACTTTGGAGAATTATTATAAAATTATTCAAAATGACAAACATATCATACATTTAGATATATATTTAACAATGTTAAGAAGCAAAATTTACTGGGAATGCATTTTTATTGAAATTAATTTTAATTTTTACCTCATATACACTTGTGTGATTTTTTTTTTTAGGGATACAATTCACCAATTTTGTTAATAGATGTTAGCTCTGAAATACTTGAGTATAAAGAGAGTGTGAATGAATGAGTGAAATTTTCTTATACTCCTCAGTTTTTAGAACTGCTTCGAAGGTATATGTCAAAAAGTCACATCATGATTTATCATCCAAAATGATTTTTAATACTCTACCAGATGACAACTGGCTTAGGTCATTATTCAATCCTGGTTGAAAGCAAAGTAGTATTAGAAACATCCCCCTCTTGAGAAAGATTTAGTTGCCTAGTCAATAATTCACTTTCTTTTCTTTTCTTTTCTTTTTTTTTTTTAAGACGGAGTTTCGCTCTTGTTACCCAGGCTGGATGCAATGGCGCGATCTCGGCTCACCGCAACCTCCGCCTCCTGGGTTCAGGCAATTCTCCTGCCTCAGCCTCCTGAGTAGCTGGGATTACAGGCACGCGCCACCATGCCCAGCTAATTTTTTGTATTTTTGGTAGAGACGGGGTTTCATCATGTTGATCAGGATGGTCTTGATCTATTAACCTCGTGATCCACCTGCCTCAGCCTCCCAAAGTGCTGGGATTACAGGCTTGAACCACCGCGCCCGGCCAATAATTCACTTTCTTGACACAAATATTCGTATTTCCCATCAATTCTTGTTTGTCGCCCCATTTGTGTTTCCCTCTGGGACAGGTCTCCAGGATGGGTGTGCTTTGATTTTATGAATAGAAAAGGGTGATGTTAAAAGCGGGGAGGGGAAAGGAATACAGCCAGACCTCAGGCGTGTTCTAAGAGAATACATTCTTGTGAAAGAATACCATGGGAGGTGAGGACGTGGAAGCTGATTCCTTAAAACTGTTTTTCTGAAAAGTACCCAGGGGTATGCAAACCCTAGACTGAAGACCACTGATCCATTTAGTAAGCTTAGAATAGTGTCAGGGACACATGAAATGTTCAATAAATACTAACTATGGTTGTTATTATTGTTACATCTAAAGATTATTTAGTATACCATAGGTGCTCAGTAACTGGAATGCAGAAAAAGGTTAGCTATTAATAGGATGTTGAACCAGATGAACCTGTACAGCTCCCTTTGAAACTGAGATTCTCTCATCTCACTCTGGAACCTGTATAACAGATCACCCCATATATAATAGCTTAAAGCAGGCGTCCTCAAACTATGGCCCGCGGGCCGCATGCAGCCCCCTGAGGCCATTTATCCAGCTCCACGCCGCACTTCGGGAAGGGGCACCTCTTTCATTGGTGGTCAGTGAGAGGAGCACAGTATGTGGCGGCCCTCCAGCGGTCTGAGGGACAGTGAACTGGCCCCCTGTGTAAAACGTTTGGGGACGCCTGGCTTAAAGCGACTATTATTTGCTCTCAATTCCACAGGTTGCCAATTTGGGCCAGGCTCAGCTGAGCATTGCTTCCGCTGGTCTCAGCTGCAGTCTTTCATGCAGCTGCAGTCTCTGGGTGCATCACCTGGGACCTGGTTGCTTTGGGCCTGGGCTGCAATAGCTGGTGTCTGCTCCATGTAGTCTCATCTTCCAGTAGGCTAGCCAAGGTTCCTCATACGGTAGTAGAAGAGTTCCCTGCAACAAGAGAGTGGGCAAACCCCATAGCACAGATGTCTTTCACACCTCTGCTTGTGACACATCGGCTAATGTTCTCTTGACCAAAGCAAGTTCATGTGACCAAGCCCAGAGTCAGTATGGGAGGGGATACACATGGGTGTGGACAGATGCAAGGAGGTGTGATTCACTGGGTCCACTGATGTAGCAATGTACCACACAATGCAAGGGTCCCCCTGCTTATTTCAGCTTTACTTCTATTTGAAGTAAACTCAACTGGGAAACTCAGAGTGGACACTTGCTGGGTTATGTGCCTAGATGTTCTTACTTTTCCACTGAAGCCAGAATCATTTGGTTTTCCTCAAAGAGACCCACTGTAGAAGTAGGTTTTGCTCTAAGACTGTTTTCCCAAGGGCCTCTTTTTAGTCCTGGAAGAGCATTAGTCAAACCCATTTTACAACAAGGAGCTTCTAAATGGACAGGTTGTTCCATCTGGCCTTAAGAGGGCCATTTCTTATGACTCAGGCAGAGCTTAGAGCTTAGAGCTTAAGGGTGGGTGACTCTATTACTTCAGGACCCCAACTCAACTTGTCTTGGCCCAAAATGAATATTTTGGGTTTTGTACCCAGGAAGTCTGGAGTGTATGGCTTAATGCCTGGCTAGCTCCACAGCTGGAACATATTAAGTCACTGTGGTGTCCATGTGATGGCTCTGCTGTGCTCCTCCATAGAGAAGTATGCAAGCCTTGAGAGTTGGCTGGTATAGCACTAATATCTGAACTTCTTCTGAAATGCTTCTTCTTCTGAAATGCTTCCTGTATTTCCTGGTAATTGCTGGAACATATATATCTGAAGTAGCATTGGTTTACTATCTTCTATTATTTTTCTTTTCACAGTGAGACATTATTTGGTGAAATGCCCTCAGAACAGGTAAGAATATTTTCTTCCTTTTTTTGAATGAAACTCTTTGCCATTTAACTTTCTTTTGATATTACCAATAAATTGATTAAATTTGTATTTCTACCTAAAGGCCTGCATATCTGTCCACAAATATGCCTACAAATATGTATTCTGCGTGCATTTGCATGTTTCCAGGTTCTACAGTCTGGTTGTCACCCCAAGGGATCCAGAGAGCACATAGCTTTTGCTGGCCCAGCAGGCTTGCTGGAGGAGGCTTTGTGTGTGGTTCTGCAGAGCTGCTCCCCAGTTTAGGAAGGGGCTCATACCTGGTCTGAACCAGTTTGATACATTTTGACCACAGACACCCCTAATTATCTTCACCAATGCTGACTTATTGTATGCCCTACTTTTAGCTGGTTAGACATACCTTAAAGGTAACATAATACTTATAAGAGATATTGCTAATCAAAGTGTTTAAAAATGTGGAACTTCTGATCCAGACGAGATGGCATAGGTCTGTTTCTTCCTTCTCTTCTCTGCTAAGTAAAGCTATAAACCTTGGAAATAACATGAAAGACAACCAAATGAAGACTTTGAAAGGTGGTGAAAAGAGGTAAACTGGTTCGGGATCCCAGGACTGGAGGAGTAACACAGCTGTAATACATCTTGTGTTTTCCCATCCAACAGCAGAAGGTCACCCAGACCTGCTTTTTTCCTACTCCAGTCTAGCAACAGAAAACATTCAGGGAAGATCATTCCTTTCCTGGATTGAAGGGGAGTTCCTCTGAAAATGACAAGTGAGCTCAGCATCAGCTACAAAAAGGATGTATCAGGAGCTCCTCCCACAATAAGCACCAGAGGAAGAACTCACTTTTTCTTCCAGGCTGAGACTCCCTTTCTCAACCAGGTGACACCAAGTCTTCAAGGAGGAGCCAGCAAGAGGCACCTGGACACAAAAGTGGCCCAGCAAGGAAGCTTCTTCATCTCCATGGACGTGAGGCTTCTCTCCCCTAATGAAAACCATCCAGATTCCAAATCTGAGGAAACTCCCTCTGCCCTCTCTGGCAGCCCCAGCAGGGCCCAGTGGCACCATGTAAATCAAACAGACCAAAATAATACTGTAAAGGCTCTGAAAATGAAAACGCCATTGGAACTATAACCCATAGAAGCAGACCAGGATTACACGATAAACCTGGGTGACTGCCTACAAAAATACGAGATTTAAATAAGACCTGGAACCTTCTAACAGGATATTATTAAAAAAATCACCCATCATTTTAAAAACCACAAAAATCACAACTTGAATGAGGAGAGGTAATTGATCAGATCAACACTGAGATGAATCAGGTACTGGAATTATCTGACAAAGATTTTAAAGCAGTATTTTTTTTTTTTTTTTGAGACAGTTATGATGATGCTGGAGTGCAATGATCAGGCTGGAGTGCAATGGTGTGATCTTGGTTCACTGCAACCTCTGTCTCCTGGGTTCGAGCAGTTCTCCTGCCTCAGCCTCCCAAGTAGCTGGGATTATGGGCACCTGCCACCACACCCAACTATTATTATTATTATTTTTTTGTAGTTTTAGTAGAGACGGGGTTTCACCATGTTGGCCAGGCTGATCTCAAACTCCTGATTTCAGCCTCTCAAAGTGCTGGGATTACAGGTGTGAGCCACTGTGCCCAGCCTTAAAACAGTTTATATGAAAAAAAGATTCAATGATCAATTCAAATTCTCTTAAAACAACTGACAAAACAGAACATCTCAGCCAATAAAGAGAAGTTGTTTTTTAAAAAATACAAACAAATGGAAATTATAGCACTAAAAAGTACAAAAACAGAAATGAAAAATTCACTGGTTGGGCTCAGTAGTACAGTGGAGATGTCAGTGGATAGTTTGTGAAGTGGAGGAGGATAGATCAACAGCATTTATCTAATCTGAACAACAGAGAGAAAATAGACTAAAAACAAGCAAAAAATGAATAGACCTCAAGGACCTACAGGACAAAAGATCCAACATTCTATCCTCAGAGTTCCAGAAGGAGAGGATAAACAGAGTAGGTATAAAAAAGTATTAGAAGACCTCATGGCTGAAAATGCCGCAAACTTGGCAAAAGACAAAGCTCTATAGGTTTAAGAAACTGAGTACATGCCAAACATGATAACCTCAATAAAATCCACTTAAAAACACATAATTGAACAGAAAACAAATTTGAATGACAGTTCATTTCTGCTCTGAATCCATGAAGGGCAGAAAGAAGTGGCACATTTTCAAATACTGAAATAAAAGAATTGTCAACCCCCAATTTTTATATCCATCAAAACTATTCTCCAGGAATGAAAGGAAAATAAAGACATTCTCAGAAGAAGGAAAGCTAAAAGAAGTTGCCACTAGCAGACCTACTTTAAAATAATGACTAAAATACAATCTTGAAATAGAAAAAAAATTTGGAGCCTTAGGAAGGAAGAGGCAATAATGGAAAGAGCAGAAATAAGAGTACATATGGTAGACTGTTCTTTCCATGAATAGTTATGAGTTTTAAAAATCACATTTGAGGATTTAAATAAAAATTACAAACTGTCTGATGCTCAGGACAACACTGTTTAAAAGTGAGTCAGGTAAAAAGACCTAAATAGAAGTCAGAAGTCCATTCAAAGCAATGGAATGTTGGTGCAGGTAGACTGTGTGAAGTTGCATATTTATACTGTAATGCCCAAAGCAATCACTAAAATAAATTTTCAAAAACAATATATTCAGAATCACTATAGATAGATCTTAAAATATATGCAAGTAACATAAAGAAACAGAGGAATGAGAACTACAGGAAATAACCGGAAAACAAACAATAATATGATAGCTTTAATCACTGAAATACTATTTATTTTAAATGTAAATTGTCTAAATGCATCAGTCAAATCACAGAGACTGGCAGAGTGGATTAGAAAAATGACCTAACTGTACGCTTTTTATAGGAAATTCACTTTATACACAGTGACATAAGTAGATTGAAAGTAAAATGATGGAGAAAGATATAGCACACAAAGAATAAAATAAATCAGCTGTGAATATACTATAGCTGATAAAATGGACTTCAGAGCACAAAACCTTACTAGAGGTGAAGAGGGACATTAGATGATAAAGGATCGATCCATCAGAAAGACAAGTTTCCACATGAGTACACATCAAACAACAGAACCACAAAATTTAAACAGCAAAAACTGAAAGAGCTGAGAGAAGAAATAGGTAAATCTGTAGTTTTAGTTAGGGCCTTTAATTCCTCCCCTTCAGCAACTGATAAGCTTGCTGTAGATAGAAAATTAGCATGGATGTTGATGATCTAAATAACACAATCTACCAATGGTGCTCAATTGAGACAGATCAAACACTCTAACCAACACTAAAAAGCCACATTTTTTTTAAGCCTCCATGAGACATTCATCAAAATAGATCATATCCTGAGCAAAAAGAAAACCTCAACAAATTTAAAATAATTGAAATCATAGAGAATGTGTTCTCTGAGCCTAGTGAAATCAGACTAGAAATTCATAACAAAATGGTGGCAGGAAAATCTCCAAATGTGGAATTTAACAGCTTTTTGTTGAAAGTGACAAGCTGATTTTAGATTATATATATACATTTGAAAAATAACAAAGTTTGAGGACTTACAGTTCTTCTGTCCAAAACTTATTCTAATGCTAGGCTAATGGAGACACTGAAGTATTGGCATAAAGTATATAGATAAAGATATAAAGAGAGTCCAGAAATAAATCCTTATATTTATGGCCAACTGAATTTTGACAGAGATGGCAGGACAGTTCTAAAGGGAGAGCTTAGTTCTTTTGAGGGACAGTGCTGGGACACGTGGGTATCCATGTATAGAAAAATGAACTGAGACCCTTGCTTCACATTGCCTCCAAAACTAACTAAAAATGGATCTTAAACCTAAATGTAAAAGCTAAAATTACAACATTTCTAAAAGAAAAGAGGAGAAAATCTTTGTGACCTTGGTTTGGGCAATGTGACAGTAAACACAGGATTCATAAATGAAAGAATTGATGTAATTAAAAACCTTTGCATTTCTAAAGACACCGTTAAGAAAGCGAAAAGATAAATAAGCCCCATACTTGCAAATCAGATAAACCAATAAAGAATTTGTTCCCAAAATACATAAAGACCTCTCACAACTCAGTAATGATGTGACAGAAAACACAATTAAAAATAGGCATGAAAGATTTGAATAGATATTTTTCTAAAGAAGATATCCAAATGGCAAGCAAGTACGTGAAAGATATTCAGTATCATTACTCATTAGGGAAGTGCGAATTAAAACCACAATGTGGTATCACTATAACACCACTACAATGGCTATAATCCAAAAGACAATGCCAAGTTCTGGCAAGAATGTATAGAAATTGGGTCTTTGTACATTGCTGGTGGGAATATAAAATGATTCCACCACTTGGGAAAACAATTTGGTGGTTTGTGAAAACATTAAAGTTACCCTGTGACCCAGCAGTTCCGCTCGTAGGACTCTATCCAAGAGAAGTGAAAGCCTATGTCTCACAAAAACATGTATACATTGTTCATAGCTGCTGTGTTCATGATAACCAGAAACCAGGGACAATCTAGATATATCCATCAACTCGTGAATGAGAAAACAAAATTAATATATCCACCCAGTGAGGTATCACTTAGTAATAAAAAGGAATTCTGTGGGTATGGACCAAAGCATGGATGAGCCCCAACAATACTAAGTGGAAAAAGCCAGGTGCAAAAAATTACATATCGTATGATTCCATTCTTATTAAATGTCTAGGAAAGGTAAATTTATGGAGACAGAAAGTGGGTTTGTGGTTTCCTAGAGCTGAGGATGGGAGTGGGGATTAACTATAAATATACAAGGTGGAACCTTTGGGGGTGATAGAAGTGTTTTAAAATTGTTTTGTAATGATGCATAAATCTAAAAGCTATTGAATTGTACACTTAGGATCAGTACATTTTATAGCACATCAACTATGCCTCAATAAAACAAT